CACTATGATTAATTGCCAAAAAAAAAAAAACCTGTTGGACCCATGTATGCAGAAATGTCAAGCAGAATTCGTTCTTTCACAGTCAATACAACTAAGAATCTTATATTACCAAAATTCCGATCAACATAGACGGAGAAAGCTTCCATTAAAACAATAACCTCTTCTCCTTTTTAATTTTTTATCATCTACTTTTCTTCCTGCACTAATATCTCTAATGCATGCAACCAACTAAAATCACCAAAATCACAACAACAAGCGCTTGCAAGCTAGATGTTGCCTGTTAAATTTATCATCAAATAACATAATCCCAAATACTATCCCACCTAAAGCCAAGACAATCTCGATTCTTGAAAAAAATTTATAAAGGACCAAATAACATGGGAAAATAATGGCATTGAACAATGTCTTACCATTTAGCTAGTTTCTGAATCCTCTCTTCCATATCCACCCTGGTAATTCTTGGCTTATCATAAACATCATCCAGTTGTTCCAATGGTTTAAATGCAGCCCTATCAATTATATGTAAAGCCTCACTCTCATTGCTGTCATTCTCACCACTAGTAGAAGACTTCTTCATAGGCTTCCTCGTCTTCTTCAACTCAACATTCTTCTTCTTCACTTTAACAGTCTTACTAAGCCTATCATCTTTCCCTTCTTTTCCCATAAACACACTAGAAACTTCCCCTCCAATGCCCCTTAATTCACCATCTTCTTCATCCCCTTTGCTAAAACTATTGTCTTTCCTATCAGAATCCTTCAATGTATCATTTTGATTCGCTCTTTTGCCCCTCGAATTCCCATCTTTTTTTGAATTTTGAGGGCCCTGCTTTTCTCTGCTAGCTTTCACCGACTCCATGGCCTTCAAGTACTCATCGAAGGAGGGTTTGAATTGAAACTCTTTCTCATCAACAACATTCTTATTAGCTAATAAAGAACCAGTAATAATTCTGGTGCTTTGCTTCTTTACCTTGTGCAATTGAAATTTCAAGGCAATTCCGAAAAAGGGTCTTTGAGATACAGGAAACCCAGATGGAAAGATTGAATTTTGGATGTAATTTGGTCCAAAAACTAAAGAACTTTCGGTTAAAGGAAGACCCACTTGAGCCATCGGAGTAGAGGTGTAAGCATTCCACTGAAGAAGAGACCAGAGAGTGAGGAAAGCCGGAAGGGATTTCTAAACCCGGTAACCGCGGAATATGAAGAATCCTAGAAGCAAATGGATGACCCGGGCCCAAATCCGTTCTGAGTTATTAGGTTGTTTGCGCCTATGTGGATCTATATGCAGATCCGAGCCCGTTCTCATCTAAAATTTGGGACACGAGCCCCGAACGGTTGTCGGCAAAACCGTTCAGACCGATTTTGTGCAAAACATACCAGACGTAATTTTGTATGCATATTATGTAATTCACTTTCAACAACGTATAATTATAAAATAAAATTTTATAGGTCTCACATATAATATGAAAAATGATGAACAAAATGCAATTTGAACCTTACATTATTTTTAGTCAGATCTTGACCATGAATCTTCAGTAACGGCTACTTCCTAAAATTTGTAATCTTTTCTTAAGAGCTTTTTTGTCTAAATTTTCTGATCCATCTTAAAACTATGATGCAATTGATGCCATATATATTTATACATATATATATATCCTAGAATTTTTGTCTAAATTTTCTGATCCATCTTAAAGCTATGATGCCATATATATATATATATACATATATATATATATATATATCCTAGAATTTAACTTGATTAATATTTGAGGCACAGAATATCGAGGTATTAAATTTTAATAAGATGTCAGCTGTAGTCTAACTTAATGTTAAAATTCATCCCATTAATGGTGGGTTAAAATATAAAATGAATAAAGTATTAAATTATAGTGTATTGGCTCACTTACATTTTAGTGCTTAAATTTCGATTCTGGACAGTGGACTCCCTAAAGTATGAATTTCATCCACTTTTGTTCTTAACTTTGAGCCATCACTTACCTACTATTCCTTAGTTTTGACAAATTTGTCTTTGTGGTATAGATTTCAAACTTTAGAGGTAAAGTGTCCAAAATTAAATTTAAGGATTAAAATGGAATAGATTTCATACTTCAAGGAGCAAAGTGTGTATAATCAAAATTTAAAAACTAAAGTGAAAGTGTGTTCATAGTTTGAAATTCCGTAGAATTTAATCTTTTATTTTTTTTGTAAGTGTGAGGTCTTGAATGTATGACTTTTTATTTACAATTCTTCCCACTTTATCACCTAATCTAACCCTTTTCCAAGATTTAACCTCTTGTATATTACGATTTGAGCCATTTTTAAAACTATTAGATAGAGAGAAAATAAATTGAGAATAAAGAGAGAAAAAGCAAAAAGAAACATAAAATAATGACTTTCAAAATTTTGACGGTTGATGGGTCATTAAAATCAAGAAATGAGGTTTAATTGCTTAATGTGGCCTCTCAACTTTTGGAACATGACACCTAGCCCCATCTCGCGCCCTCAAATGTGTGTTCATCCTCTAAATAATGTGTTGCAATCAAAACACTAAGCTAATATTCTCATTGACAAATTCATAGATCAATTTTCCCAAAAAATGACTAAAATCGTCACATTAACTTTCTTTTTCCATTTTTCACCTTCACCCTATTAGAAAATTGGCTTAATTTCTTTTAGTCAGGTTTCTTAATTTGTGTGAAAGTAATTAATTTCTTAATTGATTTTAATTACTTGAAATAATAATCAAAGAATTTCCTATTTGTATAAGTTTAGGAATAGGAGTTGTTTTCTATTCTGAATTAATCTAGAAATTAGCATTGATTTGCTGTTGTTATTTGAGTTTTGACCAAATAATATTCTCTATAAATAGGTGAATTGACATACTACAAAGAAACACATAAGGGGCACACAAAGGTGACATGTAACCTTACATATGGGGTGAGAGAGGATTTTTGGGAGATGATAGATAGTATATAAGGGTTGGAATTGAGTTCAAATTGTATTCTTGTTTCGGGTTTTCCTCTCATAATAAAGAACGAGTTTTCTCTCCATGGACGTAGACTCAATGGTGGAATCGAAATACATTAACTATTGTGTGTCGTTTATCTTTAATGTTTGTAGCTTGTTTGTCATTAAATTGTTGTGTACTTGAGTCTCAATAGTTATGTGTTCTGCGCTTGGATCCTAACAAATAGTATCAGAACTTGGTTGTGAGACTGGATTGTTCACAAGCACTTGGATCCCAACAAACTGAATAGCTGGATCAAGAGTTTGGTTGTTCAAAATTAGATTTTGGTTAATTATTGAGATCAAGTGGGTTGGTGACTATTACCAATTGAATAATTTAATGGGTGGTATCCTTGTTTCAAGAATTTGGTAAGAAGCATTGAAGGTGAAGGATGGAAAGTCAAAAAACATGAAAATACTTAACGGTGAATCTAGACAGGTGATTTATGGATCAAGAAAAAGGTGGAGTCTAATGTTGATTTTGGACGTGAATTGATGGAAACTTTCTCGCATCTCCAATGATTGATACTTCAACCTGGTGACTTTTAGATTTCGGTTATGTTTTTTAGGTGGTGTGGCACGTGTCCCAAAGAAACAAAGAGATCTAATTTTCGTGTGTCAGAAGACTCCGACAATAACGAGTTTTTCGTTTTAGGTAGAATCTTGGAAACCACACGTGGCGAGACAGTCTTGAAGATGGAAAAAAGTATGGTAATTGTACCACTTGATTGTCTCAGTAATTAGGGTTAGAATTCACAGAAGCGGATCTCGAATTGCAAGTGGTGGTGAGACAAAATCCTGCAAAGGGAAATGACGAATTAAAACACTTTCTCACGAGTCAACTAGAGCTTAGACTTGGGGTAACTACACATGTTAATTTGGCGATTGAATTAATTTAATATCAGAATTGTATTGATTCGAGTATGTAGTTCGGTACCTTATTATTTGGTAGTTGAAAGCAAATGGTTGTTAAAAGAAATTTTCGTCAAGATAGAGATTTATTAGAAAATTGGTTTAATTTCTTTTAGGCAGGTTTTTTAATTTGTGTGGAAGTAACTAGTTTTCTAATTGGGTTTAGTTACTTGAAATGGTAGTCAAGGAATTTTCTATTTGTATAAGTTTAGGAATAGGAATTATTTCCTATTCTAAACTAATTTAGAAATTAACATTGTTTTCTTGTTCTTATTTGGGTTTTGACCAAATAATGTTCTCTATTTGGGTTAGCATACTACAAAGAGATACATAAAAAAGCACACAAGGGCAACATGTAACTTTATACATGGGGTGAGAGAGGGTTCTTGGGAGAAGAGAGATGGTAGACAAGGGTTGGAATTGGATTCAAGTTGTATTTTTATATAGGGTTTTTCTGTCATAATAAAGAACGGGTTTTCTCACCGTGGACGTAGGTTCAATGATGGAGTCGAATCACGTTAAATATTGTGTATCGTTTATCTTTCATACATGTGATTTGTTTATCATTAAATTGTTGTGCATTTGATGTCTCAATAGTTATGTGTTCCGTGCTTGAATCCTAACACACCCCACGAATTCTCCAACCCAAACAATAGCTGCATAAATTGCAAACCAACAACAGTTTTTTGGTTAGTTTTTTTTAAGAGACAGTGAAAGAGCTTCTATTTGTATCACATCATAGTTCAAGAATAGATCTAAAAGTAGTTCATCAAATTGCCCCATGCAAATATTCAATTGCCATTTGGATACAAAATCTTTCTTCTCTGGTCACCTAAAAATAAAAGTTGCACCTTCCACAATACTTTCTTCTCATGGTTGGTTACATGTGTCAGCGCATTCCTATCAATTTGTGCCAATTTGTACTCTATAGTTACTCAAGAGAGCCAACTAAACTAGCTACAACTTCCTCATCTCATCTTTTTTCCAACTACTCTCAATCAAACTCCAATGAAATTTTTCTTGTTTTTCTTCCTATAAATAGGAGCAAGAAACATTGCCCCTCTACCCAAATACAAACACAAAAGTTTCCTAGAGCAAACACATTATACTTAGCCATGGCTGCTTTTTCAAACAAAATCTTCCTTCTATCCCTGATCATGATGGCATTATCATCAGCTTCAACCATCCAAGTAAGTGAAGCAGCTCGCCACCTTTTGCAAACCTCTCAACCAGCAATTCCAGCAGTTCCTTCAATACCAACATTGCCTTCCATGCCAAACTTGCCAGCTGCAGCATTGCCACCATTACCTACAAATCTTCCATCTTTGCCAAAGCCCGCATTGCCAACATTGCCCACGGTTCCTAAGGTGGCCGTCCCTCCCATTCCAGCTGCAACTTCATTGCCAAACATCCCATTTACGATTCCTTCAATCCCATCTAATATCCCAACCTCAATTCCTTCAATTCCTTTCTTCTCACCACCACCATCTAACTAGAACTTGAGACGTTGAGGGGCTGGCTATACTGCCTTATACATGCATGCATGTTTCATTTCTTCCTATGGATTCCGATGTTTTTTCATTTTGGATTATTGTACTTCCATTTAATACATGTGTTTGATGAATTAATCTAGATCATGATTCTACTCTATATCCAGGGGATTTCAAGGCAGTGATTATTGTACTTCTTTTTTAGCTTTTTACACTGCATTGTAATATGTTTATGGTATTAGTGATGATCACATATATTTGTTTCTTTATCTAATTTTTTCTTGGTTCTCTCCATTTTTTAATTACATGGGCAATTATCCACTTGTGTTCATTCTAGTAGGTTGTAATTGTACCGACAACTTTTGACTACGGATAGAATTGATAACAGTAAATTAAAATCAGTTCCAGAAAATATCAATTGCTATTGCAGATGGGACAAAAGAAGAAACCTACCAAAACATAAGATTTACTGTTTTTTGTTTTTACTAAGGCTCATCCTTTAAGCTGTGAATGGAATTTACTTTGGATTAATGAGAGGAGCTTAAAAGTGTAAATTAACGGTAAGCAGAATTCATGATGAGGATAGTTAAAAATGCACCAAAATTAATGGTAATCAAAAAAATAAATAAATAAAAGGTGTTTCAAAGAATTAACAATAATTCACCTGTCTTAAATCTCTGAAATTTCTTTTTGTCTCCAGTGTATCACCCGAGGATATAATAGAATCAGACATTTTCCCCCAATTTTGATGAGAATTTCTATACAATGTGCACCCTACGATTTAAGTTTCATTGTATAAATCTTTCATTCATTTTATGTTATAATGTGGATGATGTGAGACACACTGTACCCGGGTAGACGGACTTTTCCATTTTCTGTCCTTAGGGTACAGGATAAGGAGTGAATTTGGAGTTATTTTATTTCATGAAAGGGCAAATTTTATTCTGCAGAAGTTTTTACACTTCAGTGGGTGGATGGACAGTAGTTTTAGAGTTGCTATATTTAGTAGGTGTATATATCCGTTTTTCTCTGTATGTTATCATATTTTTTGGGATATGTAATAAAAAGATGATAATAGAATGAAATTCGAGCATTTACATCAAGCCAATAAATATATTTGATTATAGGGTAAATTACACTTTATCCCCTATAGTTTAGCACTTTTTCACATAATAATCTTATGATTTTAAAATCTATATATAACCCTCTCATAATTTGAACGAAAGTACCAAAGTGACATAAACGGTTATCTGTAATAGAACTAATTGAAATGTCGAAATTATCTTTGTTTAGAAATTGAAATGACTAAAATACCAAGACATATAAGTGTAATATAGATAACATTTTACACTCTTTATGATTTAGTATTTTATCACATAAATCTCTTATGATTTTCTAAATCTATACATAACCTCCGGCATTTAAGAAATGATTTTCATCTTCAAAAATGGCTACTTTTGACATTTCAATGGACCCCCCCCCCTATTGATGAAAATTCCGTTATTTTGATATTTTAATCTAAACTACAAGAGGATTATGTATAGTTTTTAAAACTATAGAAGAATTATATGAAGAAATGCTAAATCAATAGCGAATAAAGTTTAATTTTCCCTTGATTATATTGCTTCGCCAATTAGTATAAAAAAGAAGAGATGGCATTTTTATACACTGTTAGTGTAAAGATTTTTTTTACATAAGCAAGTTTGAATCATGTTATATAACATGAATTCAAATTTCAAATTTAAATCATACACGTGACATATATCTAAGACTGCTCGTATAAAAAAATTATTATACTGTGTGCATAAAAAGTTAATCCAAAAAGAAGTACAAAGAGTAAAGTTATAATTAATCATGTTGCATACAACTTATCAATTGAGGAGCGAACCATAAAATGTGTGGGATTTTCATGTACACGCAAAAGTAATTAATTTGCTAGCTAATCCGGAGCTTCCTACCCGTTGGATCAGTGTGCTGCAAAATATTCAACACAACTCATCATTAATTAATCATGAGCTATTTACAAATATATAAATTAGAGAAACTGTTGCCCAAACATATTCATTTTCTTGTTTTTTTCCTCCTAAAATTAAACATGAATGAACTGCACCATCTATCGAGCCTGCAATTTTGTTCCTTACCCTTTTCTTTTCTTTTTTTGTTTGGCAACTAGAAGAGTATAACCGTAGTTCCAACAAAGGATAAAAGAACTACCAACACAAAATATTTTTGACAAATCTATACTGGTTGTCCAAAATCAGCATCTTCTCACTTGACAGGCACATTTTTTCACTTACAGGCCATGGATTCTCATTTGGTTTTTTTCAATTTTGTATACAAAATGAGGTTCCATGTGTCCATGTATTACATTTTCTTGGTAGATTTTAGTTGGAACGCATTTGAATTTGTTTAACAAATGTGTAGTTTACCAAGAAATCCAACTAACTAGTATTTCTTTCTTGCTAATTGCCCAACTACATTTGATCAAACTTCCTAAATTTTTTCACGTATTCCCTATAAATATCGATACTAGAATCATATCTCTCATTCACGATTCAACTCACAACATCAAAGAAGAATTTCCTAACCATTGTTGGAAACCTAGTAAAATCTTCATCTCTGAGCCTCAATCAATACATCAATGGCTACTGGTTCTAAATTTTGCTTTGTTCTATCTTTGATAATGGCCTTATCTTTTTCAAGCATTCATGGTGGCGAGGCGGCTCGGCAGCTTCTTCAAACTTCTCAACCAGCAATTCCTGCAATACCAACATTACCTTCGATTCCAAATTTGCCTGCAGGGTCGTTGCCAAATTTGCCAAGCAATCAGCTTCCACCTTTGCCCACCATGCCTTCAGTTCCCCAAGTGACCATGCCACCATTGCCTTCAGCTGGTTCATTGCCAACCATTCCAAATATTCCTATATCCATTCCTTCAATCCCTTTCTTCTCACCACCTCCATCAAACTAGTCCTTGCCGTGAGATCTCGACATTAATTGTGCCTTCTTTTTCTTCCTCAAATTCATCGTTGTGTTGATACAATTATGTTCATTTTCTTTTGTTTAAAAAATAAAGTTCCAAGAATTGCATTTTGTTTATGCTGTTCTTTAGATGTTGTGAGGCTTGATTTTTATTCTGGGCGTTTGTAAACATGTTTCTTTTGTAATGTTCATCTTTCGAGTTTATTGCTTATACATTTGCTAGTTTTTTTTTTTTTTTTGGCATTTCATGTTCACTAAAATGTGCCAGTATAATTACAATGTAAATCGTTGGTATTGGAGATTATTGTTATTTTAGCATGTTATGATCTTAAATCTGGATTTGTAAGACCAAGGGATTACATGCAAGTATTGATCCAATCATGAGCGCTTTCAATATCCTCGTAACAATTTGACCAACGCAAATCAATTCTCAAAATCTTAAAAAAAAAAAAGAATCAATGGGACAGCTTCAATAACTCAGTAAGGAACAATCTACTTACTACTCTGAATCAAGTATAACGCTCAAAGTTTGCCTTTTAATTTTGTGTGTGTGTGTTTAAAAAATATAATAATAAAATAATCAGTAGGCATATTGACTAGTCACTTATCATATAAATATAATGACTATTAGTCTGGGTTGCCAGACCGTACATAAGCCTCTCTTACTGGGGCGTTAGATCAGACTTTACTACTCTGAACCAGATAACAGTCCATGCTTAGCCTCTGATTGATAACCCACTTTTAACACTTAAATTTATATATTCAAATCTTAACACGTTCAGACGCGTTTGATAATAAAAAAATAAATATTTAAATTAATTAAATGATATTGAATTTATTAAACAAAATTTGCTAGCAAAATTAAATGATAAATTATTCACTTATCACTTAATATGATATACACTCAAATGTATCAAATTTAGTATTTAACAATTTAATAGAATCAGATGGACATAATTACTTTCACAATTTACCAATTCGAAATTGTACCAAACTAAAGTTTACAATCCAATACACCAAATCAAATGTATATTAAATTAATTAAGTAAATAACACAGCTCACTAGCAACACAAGGTCAAATCTATCCAATACGGACAATCACGCAACACAAGGTCAAACCTACGCAAAACAGACTATCACGCATTATGTGAATTTTACTAAAATCTGTGTCATGCTAGCAATAATACAAAATTAATAACTTTTTCAATTTAATTTCAACTCGACACATGTAGTGTAGCTAGCATTCTCCCTAAAGTAATTAAATTATTATTTTTCTTTTCTAGAATACTAGCACTCACTTGCCTTTTATGCGTTTGAGCTTTCCTAGGCCATAAGCACTCCAAAAATGTCACCTTAAGTTCTTTGAATCAAATATAAGAAAAAAAAAATTTTGTATTAAGCTAAGAACCCAATTAAAATATACTAAATTTTTAATCACCGAATTGAAATCCCCCCGCTCTAAACTAGTATATTTAAAGAATTTCCTAATGTTGCCAAAATAAACCAAGTATAGAAGTTTCCATTTATTTATCTACTAGTTTTATTGGTGTCAAATTTTTAGTTGTTGTGCGATTCAGGAATTTGTGTTTTATTTGGTAATTTCTTATATAAGTAGTTTTTTTCCCAACAAATTTGGTAGGTTACAAATAAAACATTAGTTTAGAGTGGCTTTTAAGAGAGTCCAAGACAGTTTGTAAAGCTTTATTGTAGTGTGACTTTTTTCCATTGTTTTGAGATATAATCATTTTGTGAGTTATTTTATTTCTTGCATTTTTCATAAATATTTTGAGTGATTATTTCATCCTCCAATCTTTAATTCTGCACGCATTAATTATTATTGGAACCTAAATTTGGGTTCTACACCTAAAGCTGTAAACTATTAGCTATGTAATGGCCCTATGCCTTTTCATGTCCTCATGCTTATTTTTAAGTATAAGGTCACAACTGATAGTACAAATGCAGCTCATGCAGATCCTTTACATAATGGGATCTGGTACAAGTTCATGCATAAACAATATCACAATCCTACATCGAAGAAAATCACAAGTTACCATCAGTACTTAGTCATAAATTTGCAAACAGGATTAACTTATGAAATAATGACTAGTAGTACCTAGAAGTGAAACATCCAACTCTCCGCCTTCAAATAAGTTTCACTAGACTTCAATTGTAAACTTCTCACTACCACCACAACTCAAAATGGTTCAACAATTTGTGTATACTCTCCTTCATTTTCAAATGATTATTCTCAACTTAGC